CGGTAAAAGATGACAAGGGGCACCCTAAATATTCATTAGCTCTCCTAATATTATTTGTAAAGCTTTGTAAAATATTAATATTAAATTAATTGTAATAAGAACTCTTTTATTTGGGTGCAATATTCCTATTTCTAAATCGGTTGCAGGGGACAATTTAATATGATATTATTTGCAATTCCATAATTATTAGTCACAATATATAAAAATAATTGTTTTAAAAATGTACCTTCAGAAAAATATCGTATTGGAACAGTAACTCTGCAATATTGTTGCAAAATTCTTTTATATTTTTGGAAATGTTTTGAAGTCACCAATAACAAATAAGTTTATAATGCATCTTTATTTAATACTCAACGGATAATCATAGAATTCATATACGGTCTTAGAATTAGTGTGTAATATTTATCTGATCACCTGGACTTAATATTTTTTTCAGTACATGATTTTTCACTTTGTCTGCTTTTGGCTGCAGCCATTGTTTGTATTGCTTGTTGCCCGTTTGCCGCTGTTTCTTTTGGTTTTTATGCGCGACGCTGGTTGAACGCTTCGCTGCTTTGATTTGCCTTGCTTAGCCCGGCTAAGACTCCCCTGCCTCCCGGCTGGGACGGGAGCCCCTGACCTTTATCTCGGCCAGTGCAGGATACTCCGGCCAAAGCCAAAGTCCTTGGATGGGACAGAAAGCAAACTGAAACTGAAACAGAGGCAGAAACAGGAGCAGCACTCGTGCGCACTTCGTGCTACAAAGCAACAAATCGAGTTTGCGAATAAATGAAATTACTTTTCGGTCTAATGACCATCATCTGCTGATTTTATTAGATTTGTTTCCTTTTGCCCTGTGTTTGTTTACGGCTTCTGCTGCTGCTGTTTCTCCGGTATTTTCCTGCCACTGTTGCAGCATCGAACTGTTCAGTAAACTTTAAATGACTTTTGTGCCCAATCGGTGTGAGCAAAATGTTTGATAAGAGACGTGTTACCTTTTGGAAGGGAAAGGTCCCCAAAACATATATAAGAATAGGCCGGAGAAACTCTTGTCCCATCATCACGGTGAAGCGTAAATTTGGTTTTTGGAAATTTCTCATTTTTTTATTTCAATTGCACTGGAGGAAACGGCATGATACAATCCACCAGAATCTATAAATTTCAGATTAAAAACAAATTGTCAAACAGAAATCTCTACAGTTTCGAAATAACATCCATAAGAAATGTTTTTATACTTTATTACTTCCGTAATTCTAATGATTTTCACAGCATTTTTTTTTAAGGTCTTTCAAACCTCTACAAAAATTTTGTTTAAGGGGGTCGTTAAAAACATGAATTTTTATAATTGCCATCAAAAGAATGCTTTCTTTCTTGCCTTTCTGCTCTTTAAATAAATACGCTATTATTTTTTTTCGTTTCTAAAATATTTGGTTTATTTATGATAATATTCTAGGTTTAGATATTCTTTTTTTCAGGTGTTCAATTTGAATACGGCATATTTGTGTGGGTTTTGCCAACCTACTTTCCCCAACCTGTCACCTGTTGTTTTGCTACTTTTCCTGCTGTGCCTCTGCTTTCCCTCCTCTTTTTTCCTTTGCTTTCCCCAAAACTGACATTTCATTTTTATGAAACATCTTATTTTTCTAATTTGCAACAGCAGGTGTCGCCATTTTCTGCAATTTTGTGTTTATATGAGAAAAGTGCTGCTGCTTTTCCGGCTTTTCCGCACCACCCATGGCCTGATGTTGAGCGGGTGTAAATTCAGTTTACTGTAAAATTTAATAGAAAGCGAATTTTCCCCCAAAGCAGCTGCGTGTGTGTAGGTGTGTGTGTGTGTTTCTGGGGGCAACAGTGCGTATGTGTGTGCGTGCAAATTGGGGTCTTTTGTTTATAGTGTTTCACATGTTTGCATATAAAGTGAGAATTCCTGTAAAGCATGCTGTAAAAATACGTTTAATAAGCTACAAGACGGCTTGTATTATCCCACTCGCATTATGTTTTTTTTTTTTTTTGAGTTTCAGGGGTATAAGGAGTAGCGATATGGGGTCTTCCAACCGACCTGACGTCTTTATTAATTCATAAAACGACAAACGCCAGGTGTCGTTGACGATATGTCTGAGCTTTTGGATTTTTTTATGTTCTTAAAAGTCAAACAACGCAAATTTGGAAGTTTTGCCCAAATTACCAATAAAAACAATAGCAGAGTAGCAGCTCCCACATACACACAATAATACACAGAGCTACTTGCATATGTATGCAGGGGAAAAATCATTTCCCCAAGAAAACTCTACCTAGTATAATTCGTTATCTCTGGGGCGTATCAAAATCACGCTTGATTAACTTTTTCGAGCCATTTAACAAATAAGCAATAAAATCCGTGCATTTCCTTAGTCCGTGTCCAAGTCGGGACCTCCACCCCCCCTCCCCCTTTCAACCATTTAACCCCCTGCCGCCAATGGGGGCTGCCTTTTTCTGTGTTGTCTTGAGCAAATTGCCATTTTGTGTTCAAATGAGACGTTTATGTTTTTTAATTTTTTTCTTGTTCCTGGTAATGGCCAATGTCAATGGGTTCAGCTGAGGGCAATCTGGGCATCAGGGATTTGGATGTGGAGAGCTGTGAATGGATTTTTGTTTTGTATGGGAAGTTACCCAATAGAATGTCTTTTTATTAGCTCAAATTATATGCTTATGCTTTAGGTATCAAAATTAAAGACAAATTAGGCACTTGACACTTGATGTTAAATTGTAAAAGCAAATTTTAGAATTTAATTTGAAATTTAATCAATCATATTTAACTGTCAAAAGAGAAGGGGCCACAAGGAATATAGTTAATCAAACAGAGCCTGCAAATACAATAATTGATTTGGCATTTGAGAAATGGTATTTAGTACTTACACACAGATTTTATAAAATATCTGCCAACTTAACTGCCAATGAATTGCAAAGTCATTGCTGTATTACATTTGGCCCCACAACACAATCAGCACTTCAAACACAAACCGAGGCATAAATAAACAAGCAGAGGAAATTGCAAATCCCCAAATTAGCATTAGCTAATCAAGGTAACAAATGGCAGAAGGGACAAGAGGGGCAAGTGGGCGGAAAATCTTTAGGCAAATAGGACATTGTGCGCAGCTGTGTGCGTTAAGTGCAATGTTAAGGGCCTGACCCGAGGTCCCAGGGGCTATGTGTATAATATATAATCGAGAAGTATGCCATTTCGCATTCGAAGGCAAAATTAAATTTGACTGGCCAAACGCCCGCAAACAAACCGAGTCGAAAGCACACAAGCAGCGTTTTGCCAACATTTGCCAACTGCATGGCAACATGGCTTGCAGTCAAATGCTCAGGTTCACCTGGTCCTGGCCAGGTCCAAAAGGACCAAAAGGATCTGGCCGAGCAGCTAGGCAGCTGAGCATCTGAGTCTGGCAGGAACCAATTAAATATTGAGAGAGACACATTTGCCATTTCGTGCTCCGTTTGCAATTAGCCATAACATTCTGCCGGATAAATGCTCGCACGTAAGTACAAACATACATACAAACGTATGAATAAGTATATGTGGACAATCAAGTCAACCTCATAATGCCATTTGCCGAATTCCATTGATTGGCACCCAATCACCCCCCGACCTCAGACTTCAAAGCAATTTTCCCGTCACTCCAGCCAAAAGGTAAATATTTTATAGTCAACATAATCACATCACACATCAAAGCCCCAAAATCCGCACTGCTGCCATCAATCGAGTTGGTAAATCAGGCCATATTTATACGATTGGAAATCAAATTTTGATTTGCCAGGTGGGTTTCCGAGGTGGCGTCTCTAAACTGATGTAAAATTACTCAAGCTTAAGTAGGTGTGTTGGTCTTAGTTTAGCCTGATTGAACGCTTTCAAACGTACATTTGGGTAATTTTAATTTTTTATTTACTTCCTTTCCTTGTCAGTAATAAATTTACTAGACATTTTGGCTTTGTAAATATTTGATAACAATATGAAGGTTTTTAGATTATGAATTACTCAGTGGTACGCGATGACCCACATAATATTTAAAATATAGTAATAGAAGTTAATCAATTTTTTTACCCTCTTTAATGTTAGTTTTCGAAGATTTCTAGATTCCGTAACTTTACCAAATTTAATTCGATTCCAACGTGGCATACCTCTTAAGACTCCTGATTTGATTTTCTAAAAATCTGCATTTAAAATTTTCATTTTAACGTTGGTCAAAATTTTGACCCATTTTCATGTTGGTTATTCTTAATTTTCAATGACTTAAAAAAATATGTCCCAAAATTGGACTTCTAGATCCCATAACTTAACCAAATTTAGTCCGATTCCAAAGTGGCATACCTCTTAAGACTCGTGATTTGATTCTCTAAAAATCTGCATCTAAAATTTTCATTTTAACGTTGGTCAAAATTTTGACCCATTTTCATGTTGGTTATTTCTTAATTTCCAATGACTTAAAAATTGATGTCCCAAGATTGGACTTCTAGATCCCATCACTTTACCAAATTTAGTCCGATTCCAAAGTGGCATACCTCTTAAGACTCGTGATTCGATTCTCTAAAAATCTGCATTTAAAATTTTCATTTTAACGTTGGTCGAAATTTTGACAAATTTTCATGTTGGTTATTTCTTAATTTTCAATGACTTAAAAAAATATGTCCCAAAATTAGACTTCTAGATCCCATAACTTTACCAAATTTAGTCCGATTCCAAAGTGGCATACCTCTTAAGACTCCTGATTTGATTCTCTAAAAATCTGCATTTTAAATTTTCATTTTAACGTTGGTCGAAATTTTGACCCATTTTCATGTTGGTTATTTCTTAATTTCCAATGACTTAAAAAATGATGTCCCAAGATTGGACTTCTAGATTCCATAACTTTACCAAATTTAGTCCGATACCAAAGTGGCATACCGCTTAAGACTCGTGGTTTGATTCTCTAAAAATTTGGAAATTTCTTAATTTCCCAAGATCGGACTTTTAGATACGTGATTATTTTTTTATCCTTAAATTTATCCAAAAGTCACTCATTTTATTTTCTCATAATTTATACAATTTATTGTTAACGATATAACAGCGCACATTTACTATCATTGTTGTTCCAGGCCAAACCAGAGATTATTCGTCTGTGCAAACACCGTACCAAAAAGTGAAATATCGAATACATGAGAGATACCCATAGAAAGATTACTACTGGCCGGCGCAGGCCATCTGGTACATGAACTGGATAACAGTGCGCGTCGGACGCCCGGTCATCGAGTCCTTCAGCAGATAGGGCCTGGGGTTAATCTTGGTGGTCATGCCGGTGCCGCGGATGTCCAGATGGGCCCAGTCCACGCAGGGCACCAGGGAGTGGAGGATGGCGGCGGCCAGGCAGGAACTGGCTGGACCTCTGCCGGTGTTGCACAGGTCATAGGTGATGTTCTTGTTCACGATCTGCTTGTAGTACTTGAACAGCGGGAAACGCCAGATGCGGTCACCAGTCAGTCCTCCAGACTTGCGGAAGTTCTGCCACACCGACTTGGAGGTGGTCCACAAGCCACTGGCTCCACCGCCAACCGCATAGTTCACACCCATGGCCACAGTTCCGATGTCGATGACCAGCTTGGGCTTGAAGGTGGCCTGGGCGTAGAGCAGGGGATCGGCCATGAGCACCACCGGTGCCTTGTCCACGTTCTTGATGCCCATGGTGGTGCCGTTTAGAAGGGTCACCACATCGCCGCACTTTACGGCCATGCCGGAGGGCATGTGTTCGCACAGCGGCATCACGGCCGTGATGTTCATGGGCAGCGAAAGGGCGGCAGCCGCACGGAGCACGCCCACACAGACGGCTGCTCCGGCCATGGCACCGCGGTACATGTCCATTCCCTTCTTGGGCTTCAGGCACAGACCGCCACTGTGGAAGGTCAGCCCTTGGCCGAGCAGCAAGACGGGACGATCCTCGGGCGAGGTGCCGCAGTAGCTGCACTCCAGCAACAGGGGCGGCTCACAGGAGCCCTTGGCGATCATCAGGAAGGAGTTCAGGTTCATGTCCTCGATCCAGTCCATGGAGCGCACCTCCACGGAGACACCGCAAGGGCACAAGGCATCCACGGCGGCCTGGGCGAAGATGGAGGGGGTCATCATGTTGGCCGGGGTATCGGAGAGACGACGGGCCAGATTCTGGGATTCGGCCTTGAAGAGACCCCGCACCCAGGCATCGCGATCGCCCTTTCCGTACATGTCCAACTTGGGGGTCTGCAGGCGGTTCTTCTTCCTCTTGTTGGCATTGTACCGCCACACGGCCAAAGCGGCACCCTCGGCCGCCTGCTCTGGATACTCCATGGCGTCCACATGCACCTCGTACATCCCCTGGAGCTGCAGGGCCCGAGCACCAGTGCCCGCCGCCACGCGCACATTCTCCATGCCCTCGTCCAGCTCCTCGTTCTCGTTGTAGGAGGCACCATGTTTGCCCACTCCGACGACGGCCACCGCCTGGTACTCGCCCTCGAAGCCGCTGAAAAGCAATCCCTTGCCCACGGTGCCATCCATACCCCGTTCCCGGATCAGGGTCAGCAGCTTGCCGCCCAGTGCATCGTCCAGAGTCACGGCATTCACCGTGGCCTTGGCTGGCTTGTCGCCATCCGTGGAGTAGAGGCCCACCACCACGCCCTTGGGATCCTTGCAGGATGTCGCATAGCAGCGAAGGACGGGGGCCACAGTCTTCCTTAGATTGTGTCCACCCATCAACCGCAGACCGGCGCGCATCAAAGACACATCCTTGTATGACGGCATTTTCCAGTAGCAAAAGATATAATCAACTTTGTTGTAACACTAAGAATTTTGGGCAACGCGTGTTTTATACTAGAATATAAATAAGTAGGTCAATGAGCTCGGTAAACGCAAAATATTGGTTTGTAAAGCGTTTTTTTTGTAAATTAACACTGAGAATTTTGTGTGGATTTTCTATCGCCAGCTCATCTGTGACCCGTACGACAATCTAAAATAAACTGAACTTTTCCAGGGCTCGAGCCTGTTATTCGGCTTGACAGCCCTTTGGTCGATATCATGGATTCCTTGGATAGGTTTTTTTATGTTTAGGGGTTATATGGGTTTTGAGGAGGTTTTGTTTGTTTTTGTTTTTAAGTAGTTTATTATTTGTTAAGGTTTCGTTAAAAACAAAGTATTACTAGGTGGACATAGTTATTTCTTAATCCTTCTTATTGTTAATATTTTTACATTTACCTATCTTTCACTTTATAATTTCAAACCAAAGCTAGTTGTCCACTAATATCATTATTTCCATTTCAGCATGGATAGGTTTTTTTTATGTTTAAAGATTCACTGGGTTTTGCGAGTTTTAAAATGTTTTTAAGTAGTTTATTATTCGTTAAGGTTTCGTTTAAAAACAAAGTATTACTACATGGAAATAGTTCTTTCTTAATACTTCTTATTTTGAATATTTTTTCATTTACCTTTCTTACACTTTACAATTTGAAACCAAAGCTAGTTGCCCACTAATATCATTATTTCCATTTGAGCAACGGAGAGACTGAGCTTTAGACGGGATTCTGTCAACGGGCAAGTCCCTTTCCAGGATTATAATGCCCCTCCACGCTATTTAAATGATAATGACAAAAGTGGAGAGTGCAAGGGAAAAAAAAATCATATGAATTTCAATTAAGTAGTCAACAACCGGGTCCGGAAGCTGGGCCCTGATGCTCCGGCCAAGTGCACAGCGATAATAATAACGGCGAGTGGAAATAATTAATTTTCCAAACCAGTGAGTCAACGCTAATTAAGCTTAATTTTTGGTGTTGCATAACTAATTAAGGTGGGAACAGTCAGCGGCAGCAGGCGCAATTTACAAGGAAGATACTCGTATTATGCAAAAATGTTTCACTTTAATTCTATTTGTCTGCGGGTTGGACAATCTATAATTGGAAAGTATGCTCATGCTTATCTCTCGACTATTTGAATATGGAATTCAATTTAATGTTGCCCGAGCGCAGAAATATGCAAATCTTTTACCTCGCAACACACACACACACCCGCACACCCAGCTCAAATGTTTGCCTTTTGGCTTTGAACAAGGTGAACCGAAGGGTCGGCAGGGGGCCACAAAATCACAGGCAGCCCGAAAACTAAATTGGAAATTTGGTTATTTCTCGCCTTTGCGCTTGACCTGGCCGAAAGGCCGAGTCCCGAGCACGACAAACGACAAACTTTGTCTCCAACAACCTGGCTAACACCCACACACACACACACACCACTGCAATTCGGGGGTGGCTAACTGTGCTTGGGTTTCCTCGTTATAAAATATTTGCCCAAGTTGAATAGTTCAAAGTATTTGATTTAAAATTAACATTTGTCTTTGCGCACTCGGTTGGAATTGTGCAATGTGTTCAGAGATAAGCAAAGTTGCAATGAAATTGAAATTATTATTATTTGGATAGGATTCTCACACACCCAATTCACCTTCTATTATTGTTAAATGTTTGCAGATTTGTCTGGCTTAAACGTTCCCATGGTTTCCTTAAACCATCAAGCCCCAATGGTTAAAGCTTAAATAAACATTCAATGAATTCACAAGCTTTATGTTTTCATAAGTTTAGCTCACGAACACAATTAAATAACCAGCCAAGTTGTTTTTAATTTTAGATATTTTTTATTAAAATGTTTTTTGTCTCACTTTATTATAACTAAACGCCTAATAACTAAAGATTTTTTGCAAATTACCTTAAGTACATTAAGTCTGAAGAGAGTGCAAGACACTAAAAATCATAATCGAAATACTTTCTACTAAATTGTTCTGTGGGCAAGATGGAATTAGGGATTACAAAATAAACTGGCTTTTAAAGTACACATATATATTGCAGACATAACACGCTGAATGGATATTTCTTTTTTAGATATCGTGTAGTATATAAGCTATGGACCGATTCGAGTTAATTATGTCGATGCACGTTAGGCGAGTATTGCTTGTGATTGAGGTGTATCTAAGGATCGCTCCTATAAGTTTAGAATTGTATTCGATTAGGGCTGATTCAAATATCCGTTTCGTATGCTAGCATGTGTACAAACTCGATTTATGTGTCGTTATAGTACATTTATATTGTGTTGATCGCGATTATGTAGTTAGGCTGTTAATAAATTTATCAAAACTTAACATCACATTGCTTCTTCGATTACAATTAGGTTGCCATATTTATAATTAAGCCTTGAAAGTTCAAAGTTTGGATATATGTCTATATATGTTGTTACGCTGAAACTGATCAAGTCTAGATTTAAATAACGATATGAATGTGCGGTTCTGCGGCAGTTTTATATGTATCTCCATTGTTCAATTGTCGTATCTAACTATGGTTGGTGGCGTATCTATAGCATTACATTTAAATCGATTCAAGTGGATGAAATGCACCAATATGGGAGGAGCTGTGTCATGCGATAATACCCTAAGTCTAAGTCTAAGTCAATGAATGCATTGTAAATGCCTCGGTAAATGCATAATCCTTTAGGAAGAGTTTTCTGTTCATTTCTGAAGAAAGTATGTCTATGATGATGTCGGTGATAATAATGATTATAATGAGTTCTTGTCCGTTTTTCTTCTTGTGTCTTGTTTTCTGCGTTGGCATTATCCTCTTCGCATTCGATTTACTAAAACTGATTGGACGATGACGGCATATTGAGGGCGAAACTCTGTTCGTGATATCAGACATTGGGCTTGCGGAAAATCTCATTCGGATGCTGATTGCTACTAAAGTTCTGCCGTGTCGAGCATTGCTGTGAACGATAAAAAAAGGACATAAGAAACACACAATTAGTAAATATGACTGTGGAGGTACATATAAGCCCTAAAGTGATTGCATTTTAATTACATTTCCATTGCATCTCCCACCCAGGTGGGCAATTACCTTGCATTTGGGTCATACCACAGGTGGGGTGCCCGGATAATGACAGCTTAACTACCTTACACCGCTTTTATTATTATTTTCCTTTTGATTTGACGTTGCGGTGTCAGTTTGGACAGCCGCCCGGCTCGAAGGCTATTAAAATAATTGCCAGTCAAATCGTTTATTATGGTGTGTGTCTGCCTTCGACCCACCAGCACCACCAACACCACCATTCCGCCAACCCCATTTCACCACAAATCCACCCCCGGGGGGTTGGTCCTCATTATCACTTACCGCTTGCTTCTTTTCCCAGGACTTCATTGCTGTCTTGTACTTCTCGAACTCGTGGCACCAGTCCGAGTAGATTTTCTGATAGTCATTACTCTTGTTCGGGGGAGTGCATCTGTTCCAAAATAAACAATGTTTTGGAGAGATTATTATCTGGGTATAATTGAATATAACTTATTTTAATAATTAATTATTTTAATTTTAATTAATAATTTTTAAGACTACTTGCTCCAATTGCTTTTGTTTTCGTTTATGTTTTCATTTGTTTTATGGACTAACAAACTATTTTTCTAAACGTAAATCATTTTGTTTACCAACGTCATATTACGTCTATTTATTTTGACATATTTTATATTTAATGTGGGATTTAGAAAAGTTTCTTTATAAATTATTTTATCTAGAGAGCTTTAATGTTGAAAGAAACTATTAGCTTACCTGTGGGCATCCACCGTGATGTTGTAGCTGCACAAAAGCGAACCGCCCAAATGGCAATCGTAACGACCACCATCAGCTTCGTTCACTGAAACCACAACCAGGCCACGTTCAGTGGTCTCAATGTATTTGGTTGGTGAATAACGAATCTCGTAGCTAGAAAGAAAACCATACGATTGGTTATCTGTCATCGAAACCAAATAAATTCCACTCACCGTCCCTTGTCCTTGGAGTGATGATACCAGGTCACCTGCTCGTTCTTCAGCACTTCGGGGATTTTAACAAAACAACCCAGATGAACACTCTGCCCGTAGGTCACCACAATTTTCTTTTTCAGCACACTCGAATCGCATATGTCGCTCGTCTCGTTGGCCACATCCTGTAGAGAAAAAGTAACATTGAATATACGGTTTTATTTTTTACTTTAGGCCAATTTAAAAAATTAAAAACTTGGGTTCATATCTTACTAATAAAATATTCAACGCTCTAACTATTTAGGTCTATCTTAACACCACCCACCTGCAGTAAATCCAGCTCGTATGGTCGGCACGTATTGGCCTCCTTATCCCAGCCGCAGTAGGGATCACGGACGCAGCGGAAGCAGTTGTCGTAGCGGCGATTGCACATGGCCAGGTCGATTTGCTTGATGCGATGATCGGTGCCAATGTAGAGGCTCTTACGTGTCTGGCTGATTTCCATCACCTGGATGGCCTCGTTTGGAGCCACCTCGAAGATATCCAGCAGCTTGGACAGCGACTCGCCGTTGCGGTAGTATTGCACGATTTTGTAAATGCGACCCAGATTGGTTCCCACATAGTACACAATGTATTCCTGATTGAGGATGTCAATGCGGATTCTGAAAAAAATGTACAAATATGTATGTGAATAACATTGAATTCACATTTACACCTTTTACTTTTAAAGCGGATTATTGGATTTACTCGTGAGCCCTTAATTGTTGAGCTTGGAAAAGGAAAGCTAAAGCGCTTTCATTATAAATTAAGTATTTACAAAGTTAATCATTCTTAATATTCTAATTTGAGGGTTTTTTTATGTAATTTTAATTCTTTATTTTCAAATTTAGTTTAATCAAATTAAACCAAACATCTATTGATTTAATAAAAAACGGGAAAACCAAAGTTTGTTTTGATTTTCCTTGTATAAACAGCAACGAATATTTATTTACCAAAAAAGCATCTAGTTTTTCTTTATTTAAATTTACCGAAATCCAAAAGGGTTTAACTGATAAAATAAACGTTCAAATATCAAACCTGCAAATAGGAAAGGAATATTTTTTTCAACTCACTTGTCAACGACGAGCTTGGTGAAGACCAAATCCCTCTTATAATAGACTGGATTGTTGTGCTCGTGATTTACGGCTTTGTCCATAAGT